AAGACAAAAGAAAGTTGGAGACCATAAAACAACAGGTCCGTTCACTTTCGGGTCCTCACTCGAACTCCATTTATCAGTTTGATAATATTCTGACACCGAATCTCTAAACGGATGACTCGAATAAAACAATTTTGTCCCACTTGTAGTTTATTAATTGCGTAATTGGATTCAATACCTCAGACAATTATTCCGTATCTTATTTTTGCTTCAGCACACGTAAATTATAACTTCAAATGAATGATACTCAAAAAGACCTGGATTTCTCTTTATTATTCCAGTGAATCACGCAAGAGACAAGGCAATAATATGTACAGTACGTGCCTGTTCCAACTATTCCCAGATACTCTACTGATTTTATCCTCATTAATTTGGATTTGTAATTTTATTTCTGTTTGCAAAGTAAAGAAATTTTGTTTTACTACTATTTATTTTTAACTTATTAATTTTAATTTCTTCTACTTTTAAATTTTCGAATGTTCGAAGACTTCCATTGATATCCCTAAATAGTATCTTTTCTCAATTATAATTGATTTTTTGGAATAGATAAATTTAAAAAAAAATTATTTTTTTTGATAGTAATTCCCCAATGTCCTTCTTCGACGTCTTTTTTTTTCTCTCGCAACTTCGGTATTAGTTAAAATTAATGATTTTTCCAGGGTTGGACCGATAATTAGGTCCGTTGACGGATCGTGGCGGATGTTTGTCGACACCGTCATCCATCATCTCTATTGCATCTTCTATTCCTACTTTATGATAAAGGCGTGAAAAATTCAAAGTTACGAAATCATTTATCAAAATCGTTAGGAGTAAGAGAATACAGATAAGGATAGAAGAATTCAGAGTTTCCTACGAAGATAAAAGTGTAAAATCATTTACAATTCAACTGTATTGAAATTGGAAGACGAATTGTTCTTAATATCTTGAAATTACACAATATATAATAAAATTGACGACTGTTTTTCAGTATTATTCTAGAGATGTAATGATTCGTAATTTGTTTGTATTTAGTACGAATCGAATAGTATATTCTTTTTATTATTTCTTTCCCGACTTGTTATGTCTACATAATAAGGAACGTATTGGAATCGTGTCAAATTTGACCCTCCGAATTTTTAAGTTTTGAGACAACTTCAACCCCCAAAAAAGCCAGAAAAATCTGTGGATATGTGTGTGTGTGTGTGGGAGATGTTGGTGTCTATTTCGCTTGATATCTTAGGATGGGATGAAGATAAAGTAATGAAATTTGGCGTGGTAACTTGTATATAAGAGGCATTGATGCTATTAAATTTTAATTGTAGAAGGTCAAGGGGATAGAGAGATAGAGAGTGGTCAAATGTCATATCTCGCGAGGGGATAGACTTAATGATGATTTTATCTTGTTAGAATTTACAGCGTGTTATAAAACTCAAAATTAAATTTTTTGTTACTTTATAATAAATAAAAATGTATAAAATTATTATAACAGAAAAAGATGGAGGCACATATAATTTGTTATTTATTTTGATTAATAATACAAATGTTATTTTTAAAATAAAATATCATAAAAGACCGGGAAAGTTATGCAACTCGTTGCTACATTGTTTTCTTTTTATACGTCGATAAGCAACTGGCCTTTAGGCGATTTATTCTCAATTGGAATTTTTTACATCGGTTGAACATAAATCTTAAAAAGTACAGCGAAACGTTATTTAAACGAAATCGTTATATTTTTATCGTGGAAAATTTTTTAACGAAAATAAAATTACAACTCGGTTGAAAGGTAATTTAAATTGAAATTAATTTAGCGATAATTTAATAAAAGTTTCCTTTAATTGTGTTAATTAAAATCGATTCGACAATCTAATGAAATGACAGATTATTTAGGCCAATTTATTATTACCTTTTATATAAAGTACGACGAATTATTGTTCTGCAGGATACACATACACGCACATAAGTCAGAGGAAAGCGTTTGAACCTCCAAACACATCTAATCTTTCTTCTGATATTCTTTTCCTACAAAAATATTTATTTTATAAAGATTTATTTACTCCCTTCCAATTTTACACCCACGCCATTTTCTATACAGTAGCGAAGGCCACGATTAGGTCCATTGTTAAAGGCCTTTGTTTATTTTTATTTTTAGTGATGCTTTGGGAGTTAAAGGCCGAAGAAGTTCGTAAGGGTACAGTACATTCAACGAATATTTATATAGAATTTAAGTAGTATCGGAAACACCTTTTCACGGAGAATCTTTACTATTTTCTATTCACATTCAAACAAAAATCTAAACAATACATTTACGGAAATTCTTTTTGTTTAATAATAACATGAAGAAATTCGAAAATAACAATCGAGAGAAATAACTCGAGTGTATCAAACACTACGTAATGGGAAATGATCGTTATAAAGGTAATCACTTATATAAAAGACCGAATGAAATACTTTTACTACTGAATAATACAATGATTATTTAATAAAATATTAAACATTTTATAACGCTAAGAAATATTTATTAAAACACAAACGTTTTCAGCCTAATGGAATAGGCCATCATCAGGTGACAGTCTATCGAACAACTTTTAAAAATTGCGTTAAAACGGAACTTTCGAACATTACAAATTCAAAATTAAAACGTAAAATAAATTAACCAATCTCTATACAAAATAACTATAATAAATAGATTGAGGCAATACATTGGGGCAATAAATAAACGCTCTCCTAATGAGTGCACGAAATGCTGACATTTTGTATTCATGCTGGTCATTCGAATTAGAATGTATTGGACAGGATTAAAGAGATTGACAGAATTAAGGAAGTAGCTTCAAATTTGGGTTACCGCAAAAGTACAATTGAAGGGCTAATAAAAAGTTACGAAAGAGGCAAGAGGTTAAGAACCGGAACAGATCAGTTTAACATCACCAAATTTACGTATAATAAAAACTTCAGGGACATCACGAAGCAAGTTTCAGACAGAAAACGCTCCAAACTAGTTTACAAAAGGGGCCCTAATTTATACAGTATTCTTAGAAACGATGAGGACAAGCTTAAGAAAGAAGGTACAGTGGGCGTGTATAAAATTCCCTTTGAAAACCAACATCTAGGAGTTAAGAAGGACTATATTGGAGTCACTAGACGGAATTTGACTATTAGGCTTAAAAAACACAAATATGACATTAGTAAATGGCATTGTACCACGGTTTTGTCAAGTATGGCACAAGCGGAGGCTTCGGTAGTTAAATGGAATGAAGCGTCTATTCTCAAGACGTTGCGGTCCCCATCGTTGGCTTTGCAACATGAAAAAATTGAAATTTATAAGAGTAAATTAAGGGACGGTTGTATCAATGCGAGGGATGCTGATGGTTTAGCTTCGGCATGGAAGTTCTTTGTAGAAGAAAAGTTAAAACACACAAAGTCTTAGTTCATATCTGCCTTTATAATGGGATGCTTTTTGATATATATTTTTATGAATTTAATCATTTTTTTGCATTTAATCTTTTAGGTTTATTTTTGTTTTTAGTTTTATATCGCCTTATTTTCTTATTTATATTAATATGGCTTCAATCTATTTATTATAGTTATTTTGTATAGTGATTGGTTAATTTATTCTACGTTTTAATTTTGAATTTGTAATGTTCGAAAGTTCCGTTTTAACGCAATTTTTAAAAGTTGTTTAATAGCCTGTCACCTGATGATGGCCTATTCCATTAGGCTGAAAACGTTTGTGTTTTAATAAATATTTCTCAGCGTTATAAGGTGTTAAATGTTTTATTAAATGTTTTAAAAGAAGCTGAGTTTGATATTCAATTTTTGACAATGATTATGTTGAGTAACATCCTAAACATGAAATTTCCAGTTTTAAGTTAATACTACTTTTATAAATAACAAAATGTTCAAGATGCAACATCTTCTTTGATATGGTTGCTATATTTATAGACAAATAATAACTACAAATAAAAGTAATAGGAAAAGATTTCTCGCTAGAAATGTATAAATGTTATGTACGGAATGGGGTATTTTTGTCTGCTTTGTAGTAAAAGTACAGGGTGGCCTTAATTTCAGTTGTTCTATTCAGAAAACTCTGTAGTTCTAGCCAATAAGCTGGCTAACACCAAAATTTGTGTACACTCTATTCAAAGGATGCGGTAAAAAATTTTGCAAAAAAATTTTCGTTCCAAAATTATCCATGCTCACCAAGCCAAGCGGTTCTATTCCCTGAACACTGGGAATTCGGTTGTGGGTTCGCTCCCAGAACGGGCTTACCACCCGGAGTTTTCCGGGTTTTCTTCACGTCTGTAATGTCCGAATATGGGCCATTTACCCTGAAAAAGATCTCACGGAAGGCATTCTTCTCCGCGAAACAACGAATATCCAACGGGAAACCACTCTGGTATTCAATTTCCCAAGAATCATTGGCACACAAACCAAAATGAGATCACCCTGCACCAAGATGATCTTTTCTTCTTCTTCTTACATGGCACATATAAGAAGAAGAAAATCATCCATTACACGGTAAATGGCAAAGCAAGCTGATGCCATTCTTATCAGTTACAATTACGATGGCCGTCGCTTTGCCGTTAAATGTGAAGCACTCGAAGAACTCGAGTACGGTTGTTGTCGAACAGGCAATGGTCCTATTTGCAGCTCCATTTTCCCTGCAGATTTGTTTTTCAGTGCCATATATCTCGTAGCGAACAATTTTGAACTAAAATATTTTTCATAGCAGAATAGCCTAATTCAACGCCTGTAGATAAATATTAACAGTAGAAGAAAGGAACGACATTCTTTTTATAGCTGTCTCTGTCAAACAGAAAGACATTCCCCGTTTATTTGGAAAATACGGAGGTGAGAAAAACGTTATTAAGAGGGGAAGGATGGGTCCCGGTCTCCGTAAACTATCGCCATCTATCGGAAGAGAGGGAAGTAATTTTCGGTTTCCCGCCGACCGGTTTATCCCCGACGTCGATCACTCGACTTCCGGGAGACAACGCGCGTGGTTAGGAATAAATTAAACGTAAATGGCAAATAGAGGGGAAGGAAGACAGGAACCGGATTCGGACCACCGGAAGAGGGTTCTCGGATAGGGCGCCGCGCTTTACCGGGGAGTAAAACCAACGGCGGAAGAAAAAAGAAAAAAAAAAAGAAAGAAGACGGACGGGTAAACAGAAATTCCGGGAGGAGAAAGAGGGGGGTTCGACCTCGGTTTTTCCGGTTTGAAGGAAAAGGCCGACGGCGTCCCGACGACCTTGTAGATCCGGGCGATAGAAGAACGCCGGCTGGCCCATGAGACGCATCGCGCTGGGCTCGCTTCCTTCCCTGGTGAGTCCTTTCTTTTTCCTCTTCTCTCCATCCGTAAAAGTTCCTCTTCGGCTCCGAGATAACCCGACGGTCCCATCGTCGCGGAGAGGAACCGTTTTTTTCCGGTGAACCGCCCTAATTTACGATGAACAGACTCAAAAAGTTCGAACGAAAGCCAAAATGGACTCCATCGCGGATCTTTCGGGAAAGTGGGAGGAGGGAAAAACCACCCGCGGAGAGTGTAAAGGCGTATCGCTGGCTTTTTCTTCCGTTTACAGTACCTAAGCCTCCTCTCGGGGCCTCAAATTATCGCTCGTGCTTACCGGTGTCACCGGTTAGGGTGCGACTATGCAGGCGCGAATTTAGTAGCGAGCGATGTAATTCTAGCAAAGAAAAACCATGCGCGAGCGAGAAGCGAGAAATATCGCCGGCGAGAGCGAATTTCCGGTTCTCGCGCATATCTGACAGGGTTTTATAATTATCGCGTCTCTCCTCTTCTCGCTCTCTGGTACGTACATAGTCGCACCCTTAGTGTAAGAGCGTGCTAGTCTAGGGTAAGGGTGCGACTATGCAGACGCGAATTTAGAGCGAGCGAGAGGTTGCGAGCGATTTAGTTTTCGCAAAAGAAAACCATGCACAAACGAGAAGCGAGAAATAACGCTGGAGAGAGCGAATTTCTGGTTCTCGCACATATCTGACAGGCTTTGATATTTATCGCTTCTCGCCTCTTCTCGCCATATATTCTCGCTCGCTTGGAAAATTCGCTCGCTCGCGTCTGCATAGTCGCACCCTAAAGTGTCGGATCCGCCACCACCGTCGGGAAAATAGATATTCCATTATAGAGAAGTGTAAAATACGGAACTAGGACTTTTAAGTCGAATCGGAATAATTTCATACAAATATTTCTTTGATGATTTGTACTAAATACAGCCAGTTAATTGTAACACACAATTAGGCTAATACTAATTAATGCGCGATTTATGCCGGGACGGACTAGCGAGAGCGACGAGTCGCCTCTCGCCGGCGGCAGTGTTACGTTTCGTCGGAAGATGGCGCCACCCGTTTGCCGGATACTGTTATGACGGAAGTAACAATAAAATCTTTTTTTCAGCATTAAGAAAAAGAAAAAAATAATAATAATAAATGAATTTAATTTAAAATTTATTCTCTCCACCTCTAATCAGTATTGACTCGCCCCTGTATTAAATTAAGATTAGTATCACGTGGCTAAATACATATTAATTGTTACTATATCAACTATTAATTTGTATTAGTAACAATTAATTAATTTCCATATTTAACACTATTATATCGATAGCTATTAGCTAATTCGATTGTTTAACTTGTGGAGCTTTCTATATGTCAATGAGAGAGGATTTACTTTGTTTGAATATAGCGTGACAGCCTCTTCTACCTTTGTCCCATTGCATTGAAGTATTATCTATATCATTGACGAAATTACGTCAGGAAATTGTTTTAACCTAGAGCTATATGGAACGTAGTAGGCGAAAGTGATGGCTTGTGATGTAAATTATAATGCAGCATAGAAGCCGGATGTAAAGGAAAGAATAATCCATTGAAACTTTTGATTCCGAAGATGGCACGTGCATTTCATAATCCCCTTGGAGTTCCTCGAAAGTAACGACATAGAGCGAGATTAAAGTCAATTTGTGTTTTCTTAAAGACACAGCTATCAAGCTGGAAGAGAAGAGAGTTCATCTCGACGAATCGATCGATGTAGTCGACTCGGCAATTAACAAAATCAATTGTTTACCATTCAACCTAGAAGCGTAGGAGTCAGTTTGAAGGATAAATTTTAAAATGTGTTTGATAGGAAGCCAAGACGGAAAACTATTTGCGGTATAAATGAAGCGATTTCGGACGAAGGAAAGTGAAACGGCCGTTGGAGACTTCTTCTTTGGTTAATTTCGAGAAGGAACCAAAGAAGAAGGCTTTTTATTTATTCATTTTCAATTTCACAGTTTAAGAATCGTTCTTCGACTGCTTCCGCCCTTCCCTTAATTTCTTTAATTTCGTAAGAACGAGTTCTTATATGGATGGCGAGGCGGAAGACAACGTGAATCTTGCTTTTCGGGTTAATTTAGATAGAATGCGGGATGTATCCAGCGAATTTCGTAATCCTTTTATGAAAATCGGATCGGCCAGATCTCGGGTCATCGAACCCCGGTTCCTACGCGTACGATTTTAATACGAAACTCGTAAAATTTCGGACTTGATCGCCGCCGCGATAAGACGAATTTCGACCGTTCTCGTATAACTATTTCGTGATACGGACGGAAGAAGTCGCTCTCTTCCTCCTTCTTCGCTTTCCGTTAACCGATTTTTCTGCATTTGCAGTGGCTGATGACCGCAGTCGTGGCCCAGAGGATCGTCTATCCGGAGGAGGGACGTCGCCCGTCCGGATACTATTCCCAACGCCTTTCACCGCCCAGGATCCGGTGCGATCCCAGAGACACCTATTGCGAGACGGTATCTAACTACCCCCTGTAAGTATCACCAGCCACCCCCACTTCTCTCCGATCCATTCTCACTCCTATTTTTGTCTTCTCTTCTCGGATAGGAAAGAAATCCTCGGGGCGGTCAACGGCAGCTTCTTCCGCTCCCTCGGACGGAGGGAGGGGGATCGCCCGGCAGTGGAGAGTCGACGAAGGCCGACGGAAGCAGACTCGGAAGAGACCAGGGTTTGTCGAGTGAACAGACGTCTGGTGTTTCCAAAGGCGGCCAAAGACAAAAACGGCATCTGGAGATTTTTGATCGACGACGAACGAGCCTACAGACAGCCGGTGCTGATCGAGAAGTGCGGGTAAGCATCGTTGCAAAATTAAGGGGAGAATCAGTGTTTTCCTCAAGCCGAAGAAGATGGGTTTTCCCCCGGAAACGGGCGGAAAGCGCTTAATTTTCTGTGGAGGTAAACGAACCGAAGACGGGACGAAAAAGCGTGTCCGGAGGGAGAGTAGGGCGAAGTAACGTCCGTTAATTCCCCCGTCGCCGGTGGGAGAGGGGAGAAGAGGAGAGTCGCTTATCGCCACCCTCCCGGCTTCTTCTGCCGACGAAGATAACGTCGTTTTTCTTTTCTTTTATTTTCTCCTTCGGAAAACTTTCGGGTCGAAGGGGAGGAAAAGAATCGTCTTCGTATCGCTTCTACTTCACTTTTTTCTTTGTTCCTTAAAGTTTCACTTAACTAACATACGAAAGGATTCCGTTTTAAACTTGGCAAACGGAAGAAGCGGGTCTCCGTCCGAACTAGCAAGAGATTTTCTTTGGGAAGGTCGCCATCCGAATCTAAGACGGACGAAAGGACGGATCCTCCGAATCTCGCTCTGTTCCAGTCTTTCGGTCTCTCTGATATGTGAACGAGTGATCGCACCCGCACAAAAAGTCAATACGAGTGTTTTAACCACGATAGAATCGTCGGACTAATTTTATAGCCGAAATAGGACTAAAACGACTGAAAATTCCTTGGTCCATTAGCTTAATAGAAGAGCCTTTGGGTCCGGATCAGACGTTAAACGAAAGAAAAGAGAGTGAACTTCGACCTTCCCGCCTCACATTACGTCTATGGAAAAGCCGATAAAAGTCGAATTTTCGCAATCACGAATTAATCACCGCAACTATTTAATAAAGGATTTATTCATTATCACTATTTATAATTGGCAGTCGATGTTACAAAACAATTAATTAACACAAAAAAGTGATGTCTATAATAGTAAAAGATATGGTTTCTAAAATTAAAAAAATAATAATTGAAATAAGTTTAAAAAGTTACTGTATTTAAAGTAGTAATCTACTTAAACACGAAATCGATTCCTTGTCAAATAATTCCTGTTAATTATACTACTTGGGCACACAATCTTATAATAGAAGCAAACCTTAATCGAAATAACAATCTACACCTCAGGCAATCGGTCTAATTTTGATGATTTTGCAGAAATATGTAATATCGACTGACAATTATAAATAATGATAATGAATAAATCTCTTATTGTAGAATGCGGTTAATTAAATTTACGTTTAAATAAACTCGGGGGAGACCCCGAGTCCGAACGTTCTCGTTCTTCCACCGGTAAATTCTCTATTCCCGACTATTTGTAAGGACTTTCGAAAGTTTCTCCTACGTGAGGGAGGTGAAAAATTATCCGTCGATCGCTCGTCCCTCCTCTTCAAATGTTTAAACTCTCGGCGTATCTTATCGGGGGGGGCAGGAAAACCGTCGTTTCTATCCGAGGAAATCCGAAACCGGGAATCGGAGAAATCCGAAACGAACCCCCCCCCCATACCGGCGCGTGACTCGACCGTAAACTTCGGTCTTCGTTCTCTCTCTCTCTCCGACAATTTCTCCCTCTTATCGTTTATCGATCCGACCGCTATCGATAATTTTCATTTCTAACGCGAATTTGACGAGAGTCGTCGGTAACGGCCCACCGCGATAGGACTAAGCGAGGATTCATCGTCCTCCCNATAAATTTAAAAAAAAATTATTTTTTTTGATAGTAATTCCCCAATGTCCTTCTTCGACGTCTTTTTTTTTCTCTCGCAACTTCCGTATTAGTTAAAATTAATGATTTTTCCAGGGTTGGACCGATAATTAGGTCCGTTGACGGATCGTGGCGGATGTTTGTCGACACCGTCATCCATCATCTCTATTGCATCTTCTATTCCTACTTTATGATAAAGGCGTGAAAAATTCAAAGTTACGAAATCATTTATCAAAATCGTTAGGAGTAAGAGAATACAGATAAGGATAGAAGAATTCAGAGTTTCCTACGAAGATAAAAGTGTAAAATCATTTACAATTCAACTGTATTGAAATTGGAAGACGAATTGTTCTTAATATCTTGAAATTACACAATATATAATAAAATTGACGACTGTTTTTCAGTATTATTCTAGAGATGTAATGATTCGTAATTTGTTTGTATTTAGTACGAATCGAATAGTATATTCTTTTTATTATTTCTTTCCCGACTTGTTATGTCTACATAATAAGGAACGTATTGGAATCGTGTCAAATTTGACCCTCCGAATTTTTAAGTTTTGAGACAACTTCAACCCCCAAAAAAGCCAGAAAAATCTGTGGATATGTGTGTGTGTGTGTGGGAGATGTTGGTGTCTATTTCGCTTGATATCTTAGGATGGGATGAAGATAAAGTAATGAAATTTGGCGTGGTAACTTGTATATAAGAGGCATTGATGCTATTAAATTTTAATTGTAGAAGGTCAAGGGGATAGAGAGATAGAGAGTGGTCAAATGTCATATCTCGCGAGGGGATAGACTTAATGATGATTTTATCTTGTTAGAATTTACAGCGTGTTATAAAACTCAAAATTAAATTTTTTGTTACTTTATAATAAATAAAAATGTATAAAATTATTATAACAGAAAAAGATGGAGGCACATATAATTTGTTATATAATTTGATTAATAATACAAATGTTATTTTTAAAATAAAATATCATAAAAGACCGGGAAAGTTATGCAACTCGTTGCTACATTGTTTTCTTTTTATACGTCGATAAGCAACTGGCCTTTAGGCGATTTATTCTCAATTGGAATTTTTTACATCGGTTGAAGATAAATCTTAAAAAGTACAGCGAAACGTTATTTAAACGAAATCGTTATATTTTTATCGTGGAAAATTTTTTAACGAAAATAAAATTACAACTCGGTTGAAAGGTAATTTAAATTGAAATTAATTTAGCGATAATTTAATAAAAGTTTCCTTTAATTGTGTTAATTAAAATCGATTCGACAATCTAATGAAATGACAGATTATTTAGGCCAATTTATTATTACCTTTTATATAAAGTACGACGAATTATTGTTCTGCAGGATACACATACACGCACATAAGTCAGAGGAAAGCGTTTGAACCTCCAAACACATCTAATCTTTCTTCTGATATTCTTTTCCTACAAAAATATTTATTTTATAAAGATTTATTTACTCCCTTCCAATTTTACACCCACGCCATTTTCTATACAGTAGCGAAGGCCACGATTAGGTCCATTGTTAAAGGCCTTTGTTTATTTTTATTTTTAGTGATGCTTTGGGAGTTAAAGGCCGAAGAAGTTCATAAGGGTACAGTACATTCAACGAATATTTATATAGAATTTAAGTAGTATCGGAAACACCTTTTCACGGAGAATCTTTACTATTTTCTATTCACATTCAAACAAAAATCTAAACAATACATTTACGGAAATTCTTTTTGTTTAATAATAACATGAAGAAATTCGAAAATAACAATCGAGAGAAATAACTCGAGTGTATCAAACACTACGTAATGGGAAATGATCGTTATAAAGGTAATCACTTATATAAAAGACCGAATGAAATACTTTTACTACTGAATAATACAATGATTATTTAATAAAATATTAAACATTTTATAACGCTAAGAAATATTTATTAAAACACAAACGTTTTCAGCCTAATGGAATAGGCCATCATCAGGTGACAGTCTATCGAACAACTTTTAAAAATTGCGTTAAAACGGAACTTTCGAACATTACAAATTCAAAATTAAAACGTAAAATAAATTAACCAATCTCTATACAAAATAACTATAATAAATAGATTGAGGCAATACATTGGGGCAATAAATAAACGCTCTCCTAATGAGTGCACGAAATGCTGACATTTTGTATTCATGCTGGTCATTCGAATTAGAATGTATTGGACAGGATTAAAGAGATTGACAGAATTAAGGAAGTAGCTTCAAATTTGGGTTACCGCAAAAGTACAATTGAAGGGCTAATAAAAAGTTACGAAAGAGGCAAGAGGTTAAGAACCGGAACAGATCAGTTTAACATCACCAAATTTACGTATAATAAAAACTTCAGGGACATCACGAAGCAAGTTTCAGACAGAAAACGCTCCAAACTAGTTTACAAAAGGGGCCCTAATTTATACAGTATTCTTAGAAACGATGAGGACAAGCTTAAGAAAGAAGGTACAGTGGGCGTGTATAAAATTCCCTTTGAAAACCAACATCTAGGAGTTAAGAAGGACTATATTGGAGTCACTAGACGGAATTTGACTATTAGGCTTAAAAAACACAAATATGACATTAGTAAATGGCATTGTACCACGGTTTTGTCAAGTATGGCACAAGCGGAGGCTTCGGTAGTTAAATGGAATGAAGCGTCTATTCTCAAGACGTTGCGGTCCCCATCGTTGGCTTTGCAACATGAAAAAATTGAAATTTATAAGAGTAAATTAAGGGACGGTTGTATCAATGCGAGGGATGCTGATGGTTTAGCTTCGGCATGGAAGTTCTTTGTAGAAGAAAAGTTAAAACACACAAAGTCTTAGTTCATATCTGCCTTTATAATGGGATGCTTTTTGATATATATTTTTATGAATTTAATCATTTTTTTGCATTTAATCTTTTAGGTTTATTTTTGTTTTTAGTTTTATATCGCCTTATTTTCTTATTTATATTAATATGGCTTCAATCTATTTATTATAGTTATTTTGTATAGTGATTGGTTAATTTATTCTACGTTTTAATTTTGAATTTGTAATGTTCGAAAGTTCCGTTTTAACGCAATTTTTAAAAGTTGTTTAATAGCCTGTCACCTGATGATGGCCTATTCCATTAGGCTGAAAACGTTTGTGTTTTAATAAATATTTCTCAGCGTTATAAGGTGTTAAATGTTTTATTAAATGTTTTAAAAGAAGCTGAGTTTGATATTCAATTTTTGACAATGATTATGTTGAGTAACATCCTAAACATGAAATTTCCAGTTTTAAGTTAATACTACTTTTATAAATAACAAAATGTTCAAGATGCAACATCTTCTTTGATATGGTTGCTATATTTATAGACAAATAATAACTACAAATAAAAGTAATAGGAAAAGATTTCTCGCTAGAAATGTATAAATGTTATGTACGGAATGGGGTATTTTTGTCTGCTTTGTAGTAAAAGTACAGGGTGGCCTTAATTTCAGTTGTTCTATTCAGAAAACTCTGTAGTTCTAGCCAATAAGCTGGCTAACACCAAAATTTGTGTACACTCTATTCAAAGGATGCGGTAAAAAATTTTGCAAAAAAATTTTCGTTCCAAAATTATCCATGCTCACCAAGCCAAGCGGTTCTATTCCCTGAACACTGGGAATTCGGTTGTGGGTTCGCTCCCAGAACGGGCTTACCACCCGGAGTTTTCCGGGTTTTCTTCACGTCTGTAATGTCCGAATATGGGCCATTTACCCTGAAAAAGATCTCACGGAAAGCATTCTTCTCCGCGAAACAACGAATATCCAACGGGAAACCACTCTGGTATTCAATTTCCCAAGAATCATTGGCACACAAACCAAAATGAGATCACCCTGCACCAAGATGATCTTTTCTTCTTCTTCTTACATGGCACATATAAGAAGAAGAAAATCATCCATTACACGGTAAATGGCAAAGCAAGCTGATGCCATTCTTATCAGTTACAATTACGATGGCCGTCGCTTTGCCGTTAAATGTGAAGCACTCGAAGAACTCGAGTACGGTTGTTGTCGAACAGGCAATGGTCCTATTTGCAGCTCCATTTTCCCTGCAGATTTGTTTTTCAGTGCCATATATCTCGTAGCGAACAATTTTGAACTAAAATATTTTTCATAGCAGAATAGCCTAATTCAACGCCTGTAGATAAATATTAACAGTAGAAGAAAGGAACGACATTCTTTTTATAGCTGTCTCTGTCAAACAGAAAGACATTCCCCGTTTATTTGGAAAATACGGAGGTGAGAAAAACGTTATTAAGAGGGGAAGGATGGGTCCCGGTCTCCGTAAACTATCGCCATCTATCGGAAGAGAGGGAAGTAATTTTCGGTTTCCCGCCGACCGGTTTATCCCCGACGTCGATCACTCGACTTCCGGGAGACAACGCGCGTGGTTAGGAATAAATTAAACGTAAATGGCAAATAGAGGGGAAGGAAGACAGGAACCGGATTCGGACCACCGGAAGAGGGTTCTCGGATAGGGCGCCGCGCTTTACCGGGGAGTAAAACCAACGGCGGAAGAAAAAAGAAAAAAAAAAAGAAAGAAGACGGACGGGTAAACAGAAATTCCGGGAGGAGAAAGAGGGGGGTTCGACCTCGGTTTTTCCGGTTTGAAGGAAAAGGCCGACGGCGTCCCGACGACCTTGTAGATCCGGGCGATAGAAGAACGCCGGCTGGCCCATGAGACGCATCGCGCTGGGCTCGCTTCCTTCCCTGGTGAGTCCTTTCTTTTTCCTCTTCTCTCCATCCGTAAAAGTTCCTCTTCGGCTCCGAGATAACCCGACGGTCCCATCGTCGCGGAGAGGAACCGTTTTTTTCCGGTGAACCGCCCTAATTTACGATGAACAGACTCAAAAAGTTCGAACGAAAGCCAAAATGGACTCCATCGCGGATCTTTCGGGAAAGTGGGAGGAGGGAAAAACCACCCGCGGAGAGTGTAAAGGCGTATCGCTGGCTTTTTCTTCCGTTTACAGTACCTAAGCCTCCTCTCGGGGCCTCAAATTATCGCTCGTGCTTACCGGTGTCACCGGTTAGGGTGCGACTATGCAGGCGCGAATTTAGTAGCGAGCGATGTAATTCTAGCAAAGAAAAACCATGCGCGAGCGAGAAGCGAGAAATATCGCCGGCGAGAGCGAATTTCCGGTTCTCGCGCATATCTGACAGGGTTTTATAATTATCGCGTTTCTCCTCTTCTCGCTCTCTGGTACGTACATAGTCGCACCCTTAGTGTAAGAGCGTGCTAGTCTAGGGTAAGGGTGCGACTATGCAGACGCGAATTTAGAGCGAGCGAGAGGTTGCGAGCGATTTAGTTTTCGCGAAGGAAAACCATGCACAAACGAGAAGCGAGAAATAACGCTGGAGAGAGCGAATTTCTGGTTCTCGCACATATCTGACAGGCTTTGATATTTATCGCTTCTCGCCTCTTCTCGCCATATATTCTCGCTCGCTTGGAAAATTCGCTCGCTCGCGTCTGCATAGTCGCACCCTAAAGTGTCGGATCCGCCACCACCGTCGGGAAAATAGATATTCCATTATAGAGAAGTGTAAAATACGGAACTAGGACTTTTAAGTCGAATCGGAATAATTTCATACAAATATTTCTTTGATGATTTGTACTAAATACAGCCAGTTAATTGTAACACACAATTAGGCTAATACTAATTAATGCGCGATTTATGCCGGGACGGACTAGCGAGAGCGACGAGTCGCCTCTCGCCGGCGGCAGTGTTACGTTTCGTCGGAAGATGGCGCCACCCGTTTGCCGGATACTGTTATGACGGAAGTAACAATAAAATCTTTTTTTCAGCATTAAGAAAAAGAAAAAAATAATAATAATAAATGAATTTAATTTAAAATTTATTCTCTCCACCTCTAATCAGTATTGACTCGCCCCTGTATTAAATTAAGATTAGTATCACGTGGCTAAATACATATTAATTGTTACTATATCAACTATTAATTTGTATTAGTAACAATTAATTAATTTCCATATTTAACACTATTATATCGATAGCTATTAGCTAATTCGATTGTTTAACTTGTGGAGCTTTCTATATGTCAATGAGAGAGGATTTACTTTGTTTGAATATAGCGTGACAGCCTCTTCTACCTTTGTCCCATTGCATTGAAGTATTATCTATATCATTGACGAAATTACGTCAGGAAATTGTTTTAACCTAGAGCTATATGGAACGTAGTAGGCGAAAGTGATGGCTTGTGATGTAAATTATAATGCAGCATAGAAGCCGGATGTAAAGGAAAGAATAATCCATTGAAACTTTTGATTCCGAAGATGGCACGTGCATTTCATAATCCCCTTGGAGTTCCTCGAAAGTAACGACATAGAGCGAGATTAAAGTCAATTTGTGTTTTCTTAAAGACACAGCTATCAAGCTGGAAGAGAAGAGAGTTCATCTCGACGAATCGATCGATGTAGTCGACTCGGCAATTAACAAAATCAATTGTTTACCATTCTACCTAGAAGCGTAGGAGTCAGTTTGAAGGATAAATTTTAAAATGTGTTTGATAGGAAGCCAAGACGGAAAACTATTTGCGGTATAAATGAAGCGATTTCGGACGAAGGAAAGTGAAACGGCCGTTGGAGACTTCTTCTTTGGTTAATTTCGAGAAGGAACCAAAGAAGAAGGCTTTTTATTTATTCATTTTCAATTTCACAGTTTAAGAATCGTTCTTCGACTGCTTCCGCCCTTCCCTTAATTTCTTTAATTTCGTAAGAACGAGTTCTTATATGGATGGCGAGGCGGAAGACAACGTGAATCTTGCTTTTCGGGTTAATTTAGATAGAATGCGGGATGTATCCAGCGAATTTCGTAATCCTTTTATGAAAATCGGATCGGCCAGATCTCGGGTCATCGAACCCCGGTTCCTACGCGTACGATTTTAATACGAAACTCGTAAAATTTCGGACTTGATCGCCGCCGCGATAAGACGAATTTCGACCGTTCTCGTATAACTATTTCGTGATACGGACGGAAGAAGTCGCTCTCTTCCTCCTTCTTCGCTTTCCGTTAACCGATTTTTCTGCATTTGCAGTGGCTGATGACCGCAGTCGTGGCCCAGAGGATCGTCTATCCGGAGGAGGGACGTCGCCCGTCCGGATACTATTCCCAACGCCTTTCACCGCCCAGGATCCGGTGCGATCCCAGAGACACCTATTGCGAGACGGTATCTAACTACCCCCTGTAAGTATCACCAGCCACCCCCACTTCTCTCCGATCCATTCTCACTCCTATTTTTGTCTTCTCTTCTCGGATAGGAAAGAAATCCTCGGGGCGGTCAACGGCAGCTTCTTCCGCTCCCTCGGACGGAGGGAGGGGGATCGCCCGGCAGTGGAGAGTCGACGAAGGCCGACGGAAGCAGACTCGGAAGAGACCAGGGTTTGTCGAGTGAACAGACGTCTGGTGTTTCCAAAGGCGGCCAAAGACAAAAACGGCATCTGGAGATTTTTGATCGACGACGAACGAGCCTACAGACAGCCGGTGCTGATCGAGAAGTGCGGGTAAGCATCGTTGCAAAATTAAGGGGAGAATCAGTTCTCCTCAAGCCGAAGAAGATGGGTTTTCCCCCGGAAACGGGCGGAAAGCGCTTAATTTTCTGTGGAGGTAAACGAACCGAAGACGGGACGAAAAAGCGTGTCCGGAGGGAGAGTAGGGCGAAGTAACGTCCGTTAATTCCCCCGTCGCCGGTGGGAGAGGGGAGAAGAGGAGAGTCGCTTATCGCCACCCTCCCGGCTTCTTCTGCCGACGAAGATAACGTCGTTTTTCTTTTCTTTTATTTTCTCCTTCGGAAAACTTTCGGGTCGAAGGGGAGGAAAAGAATCGTCTTCGTATCGCTTCTACTTCACTTTTTTCTTTGTTCCTTAAAGTTTCACTTAACTAACATACGAAAGGATTCCGTTTTAAACTTGGCAAACGGAAGAAGCGGGTCTCCGTCCGAACTAGCAAGAGATTTTCTTTGGGAAGGTCGCCATCCGAATCTAAGACGGACGAAAGGACGGATCCTCCGAATCTCGCTCTGTTCCAGTCTTTCGGTCTCTCTGATATGTGAACGAGTGATCGCACCCGCACAAAAAGTCAATACGAGTGTTTTAACCACGATAGAATCGTCGGACTAATTTTATAGCCGAAATAGGACTAAAACGACTGAAAATTCCTTGGTCCATTAGCTTAATAGAAGAGCCTTTGGGTCCGGATCAGACGTTAAACGAAAGAAAAGAGAGTGAACTTCGACCTTCCCGCCTCACATTACGTCTATGGAAAAGCCGATAAAAGTCGAATTTTCGCAATCACGAATTAATCACCGCAACTATTTAATAAAGGATTTATTCATTATCACTATTTATAATTGGCAGTCGATGTTACAAAACAATTAATTAACACAAAAAAGTGATGTCTATAATAGTAAAAGATATGGTTTCTAAAATTAAAAAAATAATAATTGAAATAAGTTTAAAAAGTTACTGTATTTAAAGTAGTAATCTACTTAAACACGAAATCGATTCCTTGTCAAATAATTCCTGTTAATTATACTACTTGGGCACACAATCTTATAATAGAAGCAAACCTTAATCGAAATAACAATCTACACCTCAGGCAATCGGTCTAATTTTGATGATTTTGCAGAAATATGTAATATCGACTGACAATTATAAATAATGATAATGAATAAATCTCTTATTGTAGAATGCGGTTAATTAAATTTACGTTTAAATAAACTCGGGGGAGACCCCGAGTCCGAACGTTCTCGTTCTTCCACCGGTAAATTCTCTATCCCCGATTATTTGTAAGGACTTTCGAAAGTTTCTCCTACGTGAGGGAGGTGAAAAATTATCCGTCGATCGCTCGTCCCTCCTCTTCAAATGTTTAAACTCTCGGCGTATCTTATCGGGGGGGGCAGGAAAACCGTCGTTTCTATCCGAGGAAATCCGAAACCGGGAATCGGAGAAATCCGAAACGACCCCCCCCCATACCGGCGCGTGACTCGACCGTAAACTTCGGTCTTCGTTCTCTCTCTCTCTCCGACAATTTCTCCCTCTTATCGTTTATCGATCCGACCGCTATCGATAATTTTCATTTCTAACGCGAATTTGACGAGAGTCGTCGGTAACGGCCCACCGCGATAGGACTAAGCGAGGATTCATCGTCCTCCCAAATCCGTTTCCCACACTTCCCCATCTTTCCAACTCTGCTTTATTTATTTATTTATCTTGCGCGGGACTCGTTTAGATATTAAGCATCCCCAGTGCCGATTTATTAACCTTCCTTCACCTGGCAATTTTTTTCTCTCCGTCTTTATCCTTTAAAATAAACTTCGAAAGGCAAGTCTTTTATATAACGACTCTACGGAAAGATTACTCCCGTCCGACATAAAAGGGTTTGATTTCTCTGCGATTTTCTATCGTGTTCGAACGAGAAAAAACGTGGAATTTCATTAAAGACGAGGACGTTTGTCTTTGCAGGGACGAAGGGGGTCCGTGCTCCGCCATCCAAGACAACTTGGGACCCGGATTCAAGACCAGATGCGCCCAGAAGTATATCTCGAAACTAATGATGGCGTTCGACGAAAACTCGCTGCGGCCCTTTTCCGAAGACTTCCAATTTCCGGTGGCCTGCGTCTGTTACGTCAGAAATCGATTCTATCCTCTGTCTTCGCCTTAAGGCTGTATATCCCTACGGGAATGTCGACCGAAATAAAGCTATTTCCCTTCTTACGACTCGTTTCATTTCCCCTCTCTCCTCTCCATCTCCAATCGTTACTCAAATAATTAAACTTTTGGCTTTTCTTTTACCGATTTTCGCTTTCGTGTTTTGATGCGGAAATTACGTTGGGACGAAAAGAAAACCTAATACAACGCGTGCCGGTTTCGTGAAACAATCGTTTCCGACTAATTTCATCATCATTTGATACTATATAAACTGTTTGTTTTCTAAAAATGACAAATTTATATTGAAATTTTCCAGTTCCATTTGTGTATTTTAATTGTTAATGCTTCAATACTTACAAGTAGTGTATCTGAAGAAATCCGAAAGCAATATGTCTACTACAGTACTTGTGCCGAGCAGTCATAAGTACAGTTTAGAAGGGAGGAGAGAAACTTCTTTTAATTCTTCTGAATATATTTTTCTCTCCCTAATTGTATATTCCTGCGAAATTTGTATCGGTATTCTCGGCACACCAACATATCACTTGATATTTTTTAAAAATTAATCATACAAAATACCTGAAGTATCTTCCGATAAAATATACGAGGTATATCCTAACCTAATGTAAATTACGAACACTAGGGATTAATTTGTTTGTTTTGTTTTTCCGATTTATATTATTATTTGTTAAAGTTACGCAAGTAACAGTTTTAAATGGCTTGAAAATTCCTTCGAAAATTAATGGAAATACCATAAATTGGTTCCATATTTAGGTGTTATTAACGTAAAGAAAACCGGGAAAACTCTACGTGGCCAATAACTTACAAATACGATTTTGTAATCCGTTCGTATTATCGAAACGATATCTTTTCTAAATAGCGATTCTCTTTCCAATCTGTTCTCAATGTTTACATTTTACTCTTATCTTAAATGCGATACGACGTCGTAATCTTTATTTATTTAACAATTTAAGGAATATTTAACGAAATGTTTACCCAAAACTATTTCACAAGTAAACCGTGTACCACGAGGAAACCCATTATTTTATATCATTTTTCGGGTTTTCTTTAAACAAAACAAAAAAAAAATAGTTCAATGAAATTACACAAACACTAATAATTAGATGAGATAACGCACGGAAAACTAACCCTTCGGATGATTTTCTATAGGAAATCGGCTTCTAATTAGGTGTTTGGCACCGTTTATGGAGATGAGAGAAATCCAAAACAAAAGAGAAAAACAGAAGGTGAGGAAAAACCAAGCGAATCAAGGACACGCGCCTACAGGAGTATTCTCCTTGTTTTCTCTGTAGTTGCGTTAAATGTAGAATAATATGAATCAAATTTCATGTGTCGTTTTAGGCAGTTTTATATTCTAAAATTGTCCGTAGCGCGTGCTTATTAGCATACTCTACGTGCTTTTTACCGCTGGCAACATTACCGTTCCGTATTGGTGAGTTTCAGAACTACGTATTTTTCCCTCGCGAAAATTATTTCCGCGTGTCCGTTAGAACGTTTGTTTGTTAAGTTATGGCAACGCAACACTTGGCGATCTGTTTACGAGGGGATGCCTTCCGGGAGGTCTTTTTAAGGGAAACTGTCCCCTATTTAGGCGTTACAAAAGTTTGAATCATATAGACCTATTTTTAATGAGTTCTATATATTTATTTTTTCTGTTACTTGAAAAAATAATAATAGCTATTTTGACCCGTTTTGTGTTTTTTAATAGAACGCAATAAAGTAATTATCTGTAATCGAAGCAAAGTTTACAATGCATTTTATCCGCGAATATAATTTAACAGGAACAAATTTTGTAGAGAATTTAAGTCCCTCCATCGACTGAAGATCGACATCCGATGGAAAAGATTACGTTCGAAAAGATTCTTTAGATTTAAAGCCATACTTTTTTCTAATTTAACACGTCGTTACGATTACAATGCGTTTGGGTTACAACTTATACGGCTCCCTAATGTAACGGTGTCGATAGACTTCGTTACAAATCGGATATACGATAACACAAACGTTATAATTATCGATACGTCTTTCCATGATTTTTATTAAGTATAATAGAAAATTTAACTTACTTTTAAAAAGAAAACAATTAATACCTTTTTCTGGGGTGATTTCGTGTCTCGCCAAGGTAAATTTTCTTTGTTTTAACACGTAGATAGAAGAGAATTTCTCATAGACACGTGGCCGATCTACGATTGAAATCGAATGATCCTGATTTTTCTAACGATATTTTATCACCCGATTGATTCATTTCTCGTCTTTTTATTCGGATCCAAATAATTTAATTGTTAAAATAAAAGTGTTCCTTCTACCTCGCTTACGTTTTTATCACGTTTAATACGCGTATAGTTTTTAAATAAAGCTAATTTGATTTGATGCGGAAATTATTTTAGAAAAATGGTCCCGTTCGGGAGTAATTCTTTTAAATAATTATAGACTTAATATAAGAAGCGATAATAATATTTTCTAAGAAATTAACGACTTAGCAATAATTAATTCCATCCGTAAGCTTCCTCCCTTTTTTTATTATCGACCGAATTCCTCTCGTATAAGTTATCGCCATTTTGTATTTTCTTCGCTTCTCTTATTATTATTTTCATTTTCCGTGACCTCTTCGACTAAAACGTAATCAAACTAATTAAAAAATCTTCCATCGAAGCTAAAACAAAAACTTTCTATCAATTTTTTTATTATTTTTGTACCATACTGGCTGCATTTAATGAAAAGAAAGAAGGGGGAAAAATCATTATATTTTATGAATTTGTTGATTTCTACAGGAAAAATAATAATACTGAAGTACTGTAGAGTAGTTTCGGAATTAAAATATGGACAAATCGAATATCAGTTTAAAATAACTCGACCGCCCTTGCGAGAAATTGGATACCACTCGTTGTTTTTAACAGCGATGGTGTCGTCCGAAAGTATTCCCAAAAGTGTTTCTTACGTGTTCTTTATGAAACTTCGTGTGATTCTTCGTTCGATCGGTGGAGAAGAAAAATTTCTAATCTTTAACGTAACGAGAGGAACCAAGATAAAATTCATTACATCGGCAGCCGACATCTTTTCAAAGTCCGTGTTTTATTGTTGTCGTCAATCGTCGAGAAATCGGAAAAAGAAATGATTTTTCGAGTATTATAGAAATAAGAAAAATAAAAATAAAAAAACGAATATCGTCGTTTGTAAGGAATCCGGATCGAGCTTTTAAATGTATCGTAACATTTGTTAGGAGGTCGACGACATTTTACGAATATAAAATGTTCTCCACGTCACGTACGCCACATTTCTTTGATTTCGGAATGATTATTCCTCTTGAAAAAAATTCTCCAATAATATTTTTAAGCTTTTAAATCGAGATATTCGTTTTAAATACATAAAAACCTACGGTAAGTTCGTATGTTTATTAAAAATCTACAGAGTTACTGCTACGTGTCGCGCGACGTAAAAATGACTCATTTATTCCGAAACAATAAATTACGTGTCCTCGAAAACAATTGTTAAACGTTTCCTTATACATACGGATGAGACTGAAAGGGTTGTAAGTGGGAAATTTCGCCGTAATTTCTACAATTGCCAACGGGAAAGCGATCGCGTATAAGTTTTTTGTGTCCAGATATTCGGGAGAAAATACTAAACACGACGATTTATCTATGGCCTTAAGAATAATATCTCTGGAGTAAAATTTTTGAATTGATATCAGTAATTTCTTTTAGATAAGATCCGAAATGGGACGTGATGTATGTTGAAATCGTCACCGTACCATTTTTCAAAAAAAAAGATTTAAAATACATGTCCGAAGGGATTACATTTCATCCGTTTCTTGTATTATTATCGATGCTCGACGATGGCAAATTGTGCCATTTTTCAGTTGTGACAAGACTTTATCTTTAAATAACCTTCCCTTTCTCCTTGTTATTTTGATTTTGACGTTATTCGTGTTGTATTTTGTCGGCGTAAAAAGCTAAAGAAGATAAGAAATATTCTCTATACTACTAGACAGTCGTTTTTACTTATTTCGATAACGTCTGTGATTAATTTCTTTTTAACATTAAGTCCCTTATTATTCGAATAAGAAAATTATACTCAATTTAATGGAATATGATTTAAGAGATAAAGGGATAAAAACAATAGAATAAAATACCAGATTTATCCGTAAAGGTAGTTAATAATTGATTTAATTACACAATAAAATAGCAAGGAAAAATTGTCGATAAATCAAAATATAGAACAATTTAAATTCTATCTTTTAGAAGGTAAATAAATTTCCATCTTTTCTGTTTTATTTTAAAAAAAAAAAAAAACTTCACGGATAAATCGGTTTAAAAGGAAATTCTCGTATAAAGTTCAAACAATGATCGGTATCTTCACTAAATTACCATTTGAAAACTCTTGTAAATCACAACAATATTTTGCTTTACAACACAATTCACAGTTAAAAGCTATTTATTAAACAATATTTATTATTTTATTTATACTTTTAAAGCAACGAACGATAACGACACGTGCAGACACAACATGAAAAGACGATAGCGTTATTAATTATAATAATAATAGTTCTGTATTAATAAATTTCTGCAATTAAGGCAAACTTCGTAGAATAGGTCATGGCAAATGGGTCATTCCGAATTTCTTTCATGCACGAATGGTGGTGACGTCTTACAACGATAAAATTTCCTGTGTATTGAATAGTTTGTAGTTTTCGATAAAGAGAAGAATGGATACGATAAAATTCAAAATTTCTCGCTTAATTAATTCGTTATAATGAGCTGGTTTGAATTTAAAATATTTAAAAAGGCAATAAAGACACTACAGAAAGTACACTACTACGGCGGAATTAGTGTTCCATTAATACACTTTTAATATCTCTTGTGACGTATATATTTGAATCTATCGAAACATTACGTGAAAGAGTATTATGTTATCCTTCTTATGAAATTAAAAATACTGGTAAGTTATTATTATTATTTATTAAATTTCGCAATATAAAATAACTTTGGGGTTTTAGCTTAGGTAGAAATTAGTCTAAAACAAGAATAGTAACGCCACACCCCGGAATACGTCTCTCAAATTCGAAAGACAATAATATAATCTCCGACACAATAAAGGTGTCATTAATCATTATTAGTCGAGCTTCTAGAAACGACTCATTTCGAAATGACCGTGCATTTCCTTTTCACTCCCATTCGTTTTCATCTATAAATTCGCTTACATCGAAACGAAATAAGATTTCTCTGTGCCTAATACGTTTCTAAACTCTCGAGTTTGAAATTATACACCTATTATCTGGAAAAATTTCCATAATAAGTTAATGGAACCGTATCCATTACTCATTGACCATAGAGGCACTTTACTGTATCAAATCCTTAAAAAGTGTTAAAAATACAGGTCATGTATTACACTCGAAATTGTTGTCAAGATAAACCCGTTATTATTATTATTATTTACATTCATATACTTTGGAATTATATACTGTACAAGAATTCGAGAAATTGCTGGTGTTGAAGCATTGTTATAAGTGTTTATTCGTTTTATATCTCGCTCTTAAAAGTCTTATCATCCTAGACTACGTCAGTTTAATACACAATAAAGAAAGTGAAAATAAATAAAACATAAAAGAAAGTATGACGTTAGAAGAGATATTACGAATTACGCATACAATATACAATCATTGTTATAATTTTTCTTCCTGGAAGACACGAAAGTAAAACTCTAACAATGACTGTAAACTAACTCCAAGAAAATACACTATCTCCGTTCGATACGTATAAAAACAAATTAATAACAGGTAAATTCCCAAAAGGAAGTCGTGTTTTATTATTTCTCTCTATATTCTAAAGTGAAAAGTTGATATAAGAATACAGTCGACCCCCCTATAACACTATAGATTATTCCGTTTTATACGAATTTCATGTTGTACGAGTCACTTAGATTTTACAAATACTTGAGCCGTTCAAATCCTGGCACGCGTATTTGTAAAATCTAAGCGACTCGTACAACATGGAATTCGTATAAAACGGAAAATCGTTTTTTATAATCTTTCTGTATTGCTCTATCGGTATTAGTATAGTTTATAGCATTATCCTTTACGTAAATTTCACTAATTAGAAAATAAATAGAACGGGCCTTTAAAATTCTTTTCGTGTTTGTCGGTGGTGTGTTTCCGCTTATTAATTAAATATTAGACTACGCCTATAGAAAATGCAATTCCTCTTTTTCCGTCTTTCGGAAATTGCACAAGTAAACAAACAATTATTATTATAACATTTTATTTTCTTTAGCGAGTTAACTCCCTTCCTCTGATTCTGACAAACACTTCCTGGTTGGACGGCAACTTCTTCTTTGGTTATAAGCTCTAACAGTTTAAACGGTAATACTTTATTTCCAGTAGAAAAATACGAGTATAAAACCGGGTGTATAACTAATAAAGTACAAAAGAGTGAACTTTTCGTTGTTAGACCGAGAGTTTGCCATTGGCTTTAGGTTACGAGGATATCCACGAGGACGAGGGGTGTCAACATTGACCTTGAATAATACGGGTCAAAAACAATTATTACGGCATCCAATTATATTCGCTGACGAAAATCTCATTTAATTTATTCTAATCGTATTGGAGTATGAAAATAAAAACGAGAAAAGAACTGTCAACAATGATCTTAGATAGAGAAAAGAAACGGTTCATTATCGTTACAATTAAATGTGTGGAAAAGCTAATTCTAACCATAACAAATGACTTCTTCTCTTGACATTACGAGAAGTCGATTATCGATTTTCTACTCTCTTTCTTTTACTTAATAAAATATGATTAGAATGAATTAAGATCAGCTTCTAATCTTCTGTATAATTATTTAGTATTTTTAACAGTATAACTTAATTTTCAGAATAGCAATGGTTTTTGGTCTGTTTTCTGGATGAATTTTTATTATTTACTTATGTAATTTATGTGTTTACCGTCTCCGATAAACAAATTTTCAATCTAAATCGATGCAGGTATGCGATATTGTGCATAACGTACATTTAAAAGTATTTTGTCTGTTAAAACATCTATCTGTCCACGAAAATTTGAATTTAAATCGGGTGTCCTTTTCCCAAATCAAAAGGAATTGAGGCTAAAAATTGGGCCAAGGAATTTATACGGTTTATACGATACAAAGTAAAAGGTAGAAGTCGTTATCAATCGGTGTACTTCGCGACAATAATTCCAGTTTATATGTACTAATAAAGGATATATCAGACATAAGTTTGAGTTATTTTTATTTGAAACTTATAATAAAATTGATTTTCCGATAAAAAGATAATGAAATAATACTGTTTTATGGTTAAAATTTACGATTCTTATTTCACTTTTGATGAAAGTTCTGGTAACAATCACCGTTTCGATAAAGAAGGACTGACTTATTGTGGATCCTTCAAACGACACTTCTAAGTTTTTCTGTAACTCTACCCGTTCTTCGTGCATTAAAAACTCGAATTATTATAAGCAAAATGGAAATGTCGACAAGACGTCGGATATAATAAGCTAATTAACAAAATATATCGTTCTATCCAGAAAAATAATGTAGAAACCGTAGAAATTTTGAAGCGAAGGAAACTATTAAGAACAAATAAAGATAAAAGAAAAACCACACGAGACGAACAGCGCTTTCGGAAATTCTCACACCGTCGTAAGAAATAAAACCGAAGAAAAATTGTAAAAACGGAATAAAAGGATGGAAAACATTCTCCCGTAAAACTGACACCTTCGTAAAATACCGAGGTGGAATTTTTTTCACTCCCTTTCTTCCTTCTTCCTCGATAATACGTCCGTAAATTTTCTTTTCGACACTCGAAACGGGACATTGGATATTCTATATAGAACCGTCCGACTTTCCGACTTATTTATTGGTTTTTGACTGGAAAAATATTAAAAAAAAATATACGTAAAAGAACCTCCGCCATCTTTATTCTTTTCTGTATCCATATTTTGAACGATAATTCTCTTTTTTTCTTATTCATCGGGACTTCTTCTCTTCCGACTTATCACGAATGGAAAGTGAAGTTTTATTCCTTCCTGGATAGGTTTCTACTTGACATCCGTTCAACGATCGGAGCAGATGTTCTTTTCCAGTGTTCTAACAAAGCTAAAATTACATAATTCCCGAATAAAAAAGGTACGTTTGTATTTTGGTCGAGAAGATGGGTTCAAGAGGTCGTTAAATCTTTAAGGTGTTTCCTCCAACGCGACTAGCATCTTCACGTAGGGACGTTGAGCAAAAAGGATATGAATCATTCTACGTTGTAACGTTTCTTGCATTGTATTCACTTTCGTTACGTCATAAGAAAGATCGCGAGGCGACGAAAGAGTGGACGGAAAGGGTTTATTTTGGATACGCGCCCGACCGCTAACGAGGCGGAAGCGGGCAACGCGGGCGGGTGGAGACCGCCGCCGCTTCCGGGGAGGCGCCCCTCTCGGCTTCCCGCCGCGTCACGTCCGGCGGCCTACCGGAAGTCGCCCGCCGCCCACCTTCCGGCGCTTCGACCGGGAGTCGGCGCGCCGGCGGTCGTCCGCGATCGATATAAAGGTCCGAGGCCGACGGCGACGGGAGCATCGTCGACGGTCGAAAGGATGCTGGCGCGACCGTCGGTGGCGCTTCTCTGGTTTATGTGGCCCTCCTGCCTGGCCCAGACCCTTCGGCCCATCGTCAATTTGCCACAGGGTGCCCTCAGGGGGACGGTCCTTAAGACCTCCAACGGAAGGGACTTTTACGCCTTTCAGGGCATCCCCTACGCCACGCCTCCCATCGGAATATTTCGATTCAAGGTAAGTCCTTCGGTCTTCGTCTTTGAACTTCGCGCGTTGACTCGGGCAAAAGAATCCAACCGGAAGAACCCGGAAGTTGTTTTCGACGGCGTGGAAAACGGAAGTCACTCCGTTTCGAGTTCGGTTTTCTGAAACGATAACAGAAAACTGCGCCAGCGCTCGTCTTCGACCCGGAAGTGATTCGTTTTGTCCTAAGATTTATCCGGTAAAACAGAAAAATAAAAAGAATCTTTTTTAAATTTTTCTGTTTTACCGGAACTTCAGTCCTTCCTCCTTACGATGAGACAATTTTCTTGAAGTGGAATTAATCGATTCGTTTTTTTTTTTTTGCCCCGAAAGATAAATATTTTAAGACATATCTTTCACTTTATACGATTATTAGGACTCGATTTTATTCTCGATATTTCAAACTATACACACTAGATTAAATTAATCGGCGAAAATTTTATTTTAAAAAGTAATTAGTCAGACGAAGTATAACAGGTTAAAACGAAACGGGCATTTGCAGATGTACTGCAACACGCCACGTCTGTAAATAGGTTAAATTTCCTACACAAAATTAACGGGGGCATCTGGAAAAATGCTCTCGAAACAATTCGAACGAAAGGAACAGTAAAGTGTACAGTACAGTACATTGGCAAAGCGAGAATGGCTTTTGTTGCCATCCTCATTTTTTTCAGTTCTTTGATTTATTTCATCCAAATTACATTTTAATTATCCCGTTAATATGGTTTTTATTCGGTCGAAAATTGTATTCCGACGACGACGACGACGACACTTTCTATTTGGAAAAGTTGAAGTTCGTTCACGTATTCTGGAAAAGAATAATCTTCTTACCGGAGCGACCGTCGAATATTAATTTTATTTTCAACATTCTATTGTTGATTTTTGCATTGTTTTTATCTCGTATTCTAAACTCGTTGCCCGCACGATTCGACTATTGGCTCCTTTACCGACGTCATCGTCATTTAATGTTATCAACTTTTCTCCTCGTTTCCGTCTTTATAACCTATTAATTAACGGAAGATAAAGTTTGTTGCTGTAGTCTTATAATTACGTTAATTTTAGTATAAATAGCGAATGAAAGAATCTGTGAAAAGTATCTCGTACTGATAACTTTTAAGTTCATAAAGATAGATCCTTCAAAATATAGGTTATAAGATTTGATAAATGGAGCTTATTTACGAGATTAGAGCGAAAAATATTCTTCGTAACTACACATTTGCTGGTTTGTATAACAAATAAGCATTTAATACTAATTATTTTCTATCCACGTCTTCGTTAAAGAGTCTACTAGTTAGGATCTAGTGAAGAGGATGCGATCCACGATATCTCTGGAGGATGGTGTCCTATCGATTGGATTTTTGTTATTAATCTCTAATGATATGCGTAAATTAAACTTTACGGTTAGAAAAATAGTATAGGCCTAGTATTTTTACAATGTTTAGTTAATAACTATTGTATGGAATGATAAAGTTATTCGTGGTTTTGTTACGATGGACGAATATAGATTTGGAAATAGTTTCTCCAGAGCCGTGGAATGGGATTGGTTAGAACTCGACTGAATGACATCATTAGTTATATGAGAGACACATATTTTCACGGTTGAGGATCTTGTATTAACCGTTCTTGTTGTACCGTATCCCGATAACAATCGACGAGGAAATGGTCCCACCTTTTCGAGACTTTTGCCAAGTTTTATTTTCGTTCGTATCCAACGGATGTTTTTTCCACTTTTTTAAACACCTTTCGGATTTTATTAAAGCGATACTTTCTAATTTCTTTTAATTTATATGCTGTAATCCATATTTCGTTTTCCTATTTCCAAATCTCTCCTCAGATACAAATTAACCGATATTAAATCTCCAAAATTAAACGTTATCTTCGTCGGAAATATAATTTGCAAATAAATTGGAAATGTAAAATATATTACAAATCTGATCGACGGAAAAGTACAGTACCTACCTCTTATCATCCTTTCGTTGTTTCTTACGTGTCTGGTTTAACGTTACAAATGTTCTGACGAGAGTAAGAAATTCCCCCCTATTTTTGGTGCAGCCTCCCCTCCGACACATTAGTTTCGGTGGTCGGGTCCCGCGGACACACTAGTTCTTCCGTCCTTTTGTGCCGTCGCCGTTTTACCGGAAACACCACTGTTGTTGCCTTCGGGAACATCCTCTTTCCGTTTCTCGCGCTTTTTATTCCACCGCTCCCCCAAGGACTCCGCCGACCGACTGTAAAGAAGGGTGAGCATTTTTCTTTTTTTATCACTTCCGAGTAGAATTACCCTCTTAGACACGAAAGAAAACGATTCTCCGAGAAGGTAACTCGAAAGAATTTCTTTCATCTGACTGAAACTTTAAAATATTATCCAATAGAGATGGCGGTTGTGACAGAACTGTTATTATTACGCCAGAGCCACAACAACTAAAATGATTTTCTTCAAGATGAAATTGAAGTAAAGTTAATAAAACAGAACAGTTCTTTCACTTATATAGCTATTGCTCCGAGGAAAACATGCTTAAAATACTTGAAGTGAGTATTTTCTTTTACTGGGGAAAGACGAAAACTTCTAATTTGTTATATGTGAAATGTCTCTCGATGAATGTCACGTTAAAAATCTTCCAGTAATTCTGAATGGCAGTCGAATCGTAAAGGCTCTTGCTAAAAGATTATACTAAAGAATTGAACTATCAATATATATTTTTGTGTAATTATTTTCACGCAAAAGAGTCTGGCAGTACGCTGTAACTCTATCAGTTAAGAGTTTATCTCTTCAACACGGTAGCCACATAAGTTATGCTTGGTTTGTATCAGTTTAGTAATGGCAATCGTACCTAATGTGTAGCTATAGGAAAAACTACGATAAATCTTGTCAAAATACCAAGAAATAATCGGGCGATTTAACTTTAAGGTAAATTTAAATTTATATCATTTAATACAATATCAAACAATACACAAAAGTTATACAATATTTTATAAGACGATTAGATAATTTGTGCACTTTTTTCATTTTATTTATCTTCTTTGTATCTTTCGGAAAAAGTTGTTATCCTCGAATCTTCCTTTTCCATTTTCCAAATGAGTGACGTTATCTGGATCAGTGTTACGCGAAATCATTGGTCTCCACCCCCAAAGAGGAGGTCACAGGAAAACTTTTTCGGTTCCAAAATATATAATATAATGACATAAAAACTGAAAAAAAAAACACGATCAAGTCTCACACTACGCTATTATCGGATAATTAAAACTAAAAAATATATTATAATTAATTGTTTCCATTTATTTATTTTTATTTTATCCAAGATTCACCACACTTTATGTGTACGGCTCTAAACTGTCATATTGTATTTAAGTATATTATTATTATTATTATTATTATTTACTAAAATATAATATATATACCATTTGTTTTATTTTTAAAATACGCAATTCGGGATCGAACAGTGGTTTAGAAAAGACAATCGAGCGTTGTTATAACAGGAACCCAATACCCATCTGTTGAAAGTAAGAGAGATAAAGGAGTTATACGTGACTCTTATCAAGGACGTTCCGCTTCGTATCTTCGTGCCAGTGTTCCGCAAAACCTCTTTTTATTATTATTTTTTTCCACTTTTTTTTATTCTTTTTTTTGTCTACCCTCATTTCAACCTTGAAAGTAGAGAAAATGAAAACTTATTTTATTCTTTCCAAGTTCGTTAGATATTCACCGACTTTAATTATTCGTACAGAAGAAATTCAATAGGTTGTTAAAACTTGTGTATATAAAATGAAGGCTTATTAATGAGGAAACCAAAGCTTATTTTTACTGAAAAAAACTGTTATTTCTTTTTTATTTCAGTTGTAAATAAATGTTAAGAATATAGAATTAACATAAAAATTAGCATAGATCGTAAGAGATCATTGACACCTTCATTGTATCGTTCCTCCCCTTAAAAAAAAGGAACACGTATAATATCGGAATGCTTACGATAGACGTGTTCGAAAATTCCTAAAATATGTTAATATAAATAATTTTAATGTATTAAAAAATTATAAAAAACGTTTTTATTGATCACGAGTTCTGGGTTGTGGGCCACCCCCTATTATATTCATCATTATAATGTACTTACACATACACCATTACATTCTACATTTGATTACGTTTATCGGATTTCGGAGTGAGAATGATAATGGATCCACCCCTAAAATATCATTAAAATACATTATAATACGTCCTGAAAGTTTCAGCCTTATAATTTAATTAGAAATAGATGAAATTTGAGTTGTAAGATTTGAGGAGAATAAAAAAAACGTTTAAATAAAATTAAAACACAGCGATAAGTCATCGCATAAAAGTAGGCATTTACTAAGCGAATAATTCATTTTTGCAACAATGTATTTTTATGGCATTTATGGTCATTGACCCAATCGATTACGAGCATTTCGACGCTCCACATAAAATTAAATTTATCATAAAATACTCGAAGTCACGATCTATAGAAATTCTTTTATTCCAAATCTGATTTTCTACTTAATCGATGGATTTAGTAAACTATTTCGATGGAAGAGAATTTATCGAATTTAATATGACAATTCCTCGTTTTAATTATCGACAGAGTGTTTAATTAAGACGTAATATATTGGCGAAAACTCTTCTTAAAGGAAACTTTTTTGTATCGTAAAATACCGAACATCTGTTCCTAAACAAAACTTTGCTTTTCTTTTGTTAAAGAATTTTTCTGCATGAATAATGGAATGGCTCGGAAGAACGCAAATCCCGTTTTGTGTGTGGCATCTTTCGGAAAAAGGAGTCGTCTTTCGAAGTTAAAACTTGTCGGATCTTTTAAAAAACACAAGAGATTTATTTATTCCATTTTAAAGAAAACGGAATATCTTACTTGTTGCTTATAAACTCTTTTAGTTATGTTTTGTGCTTATTTATTTATTCAGAGTAAGTAAAAAGGTAACTTTATTCATCTATGGGAGAAAGTTAATAGAGAGTTTGCGGCCGAAGTTTT